CCCTGCACCAGAGGCTTGCACTGGTGGGGGGGGGGGGGGGGGGGGGGGCCGGCGGTGCACGCTATGCATGACTTGGGGCAAGGGGGATATGGAAAATCTCTGTACCTTCTACTCAATTTTACTATGAATCTACAACTGCTCTAAAAAAATAAAGCCTATTTTTGTAAGTAAGTCTTACCCAACCTTTATCAATTAGATTTTCAAGCCTCTCTTCTAGAACAGAATCATGCCCTGCAAGGAGATAATCTGTGTTTGGATTAACACCCTGTTGTGAATCCTTTTCACCATAAAATCAGATTGCTTTTCTCCCACCCTGACTCTAGCCAGGTGGGAGGATGCCCTAGGGAGAGGCTTGGGGAAGACACAGGACACAGAGATGACAACACACTCTTGGAATGAGATCAAAATATCTGCCACAAAGGGGGCACCTGGGTGGCTCAGTCGGTTGAGTGTCGGACTTCAGCCCAGGTCATGATCTCACCGTGTAGAGTTCGAGCCCTGCATCAGGCTCTGTGCTGACAGCTCAGAGCCTGGAGCCTGTTTCAGATTCTGTGTCTCCCTCTCTCTCTGCCCCCCCCCACCCCCACACACTCTCTCTCTCTCAAAAATAAACAAACTTGAAAAAAAATATATATATATATATACATATACATACACACACACACACACACACACACACACACACACACACATATAACTGCCACAAAGTATTACTGGCTTCTGCTCGACCACATAGTCTCTCTGCTATACCAGGAGCATTCTGGCTTTTTGCACTCAAAGGGCTTTGCATGTCATAGGCTATGGAAAGCAGTTCTGGAATATTCAAGCACTACATTTACTTGCAGGATGTCTCTTAGCAGCATTTGTGAGTGAAAGAAAGGATGAGCCAGTCTCAAGGAAGACTGGAGACACAACCAAATCAATGTGCACTCATCTTCATATTTCAGGTTTTCTCCGTTTGGGGAAAATCGTGATCTCCAGGGACACTTTTGCTCTTGCTGAGTCTGGCAGTCTCAACATCAAATGCAGATGAACCTAACGCGGCCAGGACTCTGGGTTGATGGCCCGAAAGCTCAAGCCGAGACCTTGGCGACATGCCTCTCCTGACAGGAGTGTCAGCTCATAAAGGGAAGCAGAACCCGTGCTCAATCTTTGTGTGACACCTCATAGAAACCCGACCGTTCTGTGCTTTTGTGAGACTTGACGTTATTTATTCCTCAGAGAACGAATGAGTGACTCACAGGATCTTGTGATTCACAGAGCCTCTCACAGAACTAGGCAGATGGCAAGTGGAGGGCTGGGGCAGGAAAAAAGATGACAGGCAGATGAGGGCTGCTCTGGTGCCTCTGATGTCATCCAACATGCCCCTCCCCCAGCCCCCTACACACACACACACACACACACACACACACACACACACACACACACACACACCAGGAAACTTCCCCACCAGGAAGCCAGCCACAGCCCCTTTTACCCAGCAGGGAAGAAGAGGTGGTTGTGAATGAGCCCGGAGCTCCATGTGGGGCTGATCTAGAGTCCCGGCTGCATTAAAATCTATCCCCACCCCTCCCACCCTCAGGAGGGCCAGCCACATGGCATTGTGCTTTCTCCCACCTGCTGTCTGCTTCCTGGGTCCCTCCCCCGCCCCCTCCCCCACCAGCTCCTGCCCAAGCTTCTGTCTGTACCTATCTCCTGTTCTGTATCAGTTTATGCATCTCTTCTACCCAGTGAGGCTACTGGGGACATAGATAATTACAAAGGTTAAGAGCATGAGTCTGGAGCTAAGCCACTAAAGGTCTGAACCCTGGATGTACCAATTCCCAGCTATGACCCTGGCCATGTTAGTTACCTTCTCTGGGCCGGATTTTTCTTGCATGTAAACTCAGAATGAGAATACCTATTTCTCAGGTTGTTTAAAAGGCCCTGCAGGAATCTCACATTTTATGTGAATTTGATTATACATGTCATCAAATTTTATTTCCTCCTATTAACTAATTAATTAATTTAAATTAAAGGCCCTGCAGCCATTTTGTGAAGGAAGAAAGGAAAAAAGGAGAAAAAGAATTGTGGGCCCCTTGAAATAAAGGAGCAGGTATTACTCATTTTTTTCATTCTGTGCCCCAATGCAATCATTTATTTGTTCCCGAATTCACACAATGTCCCAGTTACTGAACAAAATCAGTCCCTGCCCTCAAGTAGCCCATAGTCAAGAGGTGGCAATGAATGACATCAGTAGTTGTAACACAGTGTGATGACAGTTGAGGGACAGCGGGGTGGCATCGCTCTGAAAGCACATGGCTCTAGAGCCGGGGTTCAGATTCTGGTGCTCTCACTTCCTGGCTATGTGACTGAATATGTTCCTAGCACCTCTCTTGCCTAAGGACAGTGCAGGGCTATGGAAAGAGTTCAAGCTGGAACCTGCTGTGAACATTTTGGCACTTTCTAAATCAGCCCCATTTTTCACAGCATTAGCCAACGATAATCATCTTTGTGGTCATGATCCTGAAGCTCTGTAGGATGCTGAAGCAAAGCCTAAAAAAGGACTCTGTTCAATGTTATATTCTTCTAGGGCCAAAACTATTTTATTTTATTCTAGTTTTTCGGGAAATGACAAATTCTTTGTGGGAAGGATCCACATCTTTTCTCTTTTGTCTGGAAGTGTCTAAAACAATACATGGGCACACCAGATTTGTCTAACAAATACTAAGTGAGGAATTTCTATAATTCCTGCACATTCCATATAGGTAATTTCTAGTTATTTAAAGCAATTAACTGAATGTTCTGATGGAGAGTAGAAATGAAGATTGGGACATGGACATTATTTTAGCAAGATGCTAAAAGCCCCTAGGGTATTTGTTGGATGTTAGACTTTGGTGTACTGGGAGGCTGTTCGGGTTTTTGTTGTTGTTTGTTTTTTTGTTTTTTTTAACAAAATCAGTTAGAAAGCTGTTCCTTTCAGACCAGAAAATGGCAGAGGGTTATTTCTGACTTCTGGTACCACAATGTAAAAATAACAATAGAATGCTATGCCCTTGGGGTATCTGGCTAGTTCAGTTGGTAGAGCAGGTGACTCTTGATCCCAGGGTTGTGGGTTCAAGCCCTGTGTTGGATGTAGAGATTACTTAATAAAGTCTTTAAAAAAAAAAAAAAAAGAATGATATCCCCTTCCACTTGGAAAGGAAAAAAGGAATGGAAAGAAACTGGTAAATTGCAAAGAGTAACGTGGTCTGGGGGAATTCTACTAGGGAGAACTGATCCTTCAAAACAACAGCATCTTGACAGACAGCCTTTGAACCCAGTCTCCTTCATTCATTCACTCGACAGCCATTTTTCAGCCCCTTCGATATCTGAGGTGCTAAATACCCAACAATGAACAAAACAGATATCATCTTCTTCGGTAGCTCGTGAAGATTACACTGAGGCAGAGCTAACAGGTTTTTTTTTTTAAAAAGAAGCTCACTACTAAGTATATAATAACAGAGGTGCCTGGGTAGCTTAGCTGGTTAAGTGACTGACTCGATTTCAGCTCAAGTCGTGATGTCACAGTCATGAGATCAAGTCCCGTGGTAGGTTCTTTCTGGAAGTGAGGAGACTGCTTGAGATTCTCTCTTTGTCTCTCTCTGTCTCTCCCCCACTCTCTCTCTCTCAAAATAAATAAATAAACTTTTTAAAAAGTATATAATAACAATTCATGATAAGCGCTATGGAAGAAAACAAGGGGGCATCCTGCTTTGAAAGAGAAGGGAGACCTACTTTTGTCTGATGGGGGGTCAAGTCAGGCTTTCTGAGGAAAAGTCGGAGAAGGATGAGTATGAACGAACCAGGACAGGATTGATGGGGTGGGGACTCCAGTTAGGGAGAGGCTCCATGCCAGGCCTCAGGTGGGCAGAGCTGCCTCAACTTGAAGAAAGAAGAATAGAAAGCAGGCAGGGGTGGCTGGTAGAGGGGCTAGAGAGGGGGTGAGGACTGTGGAGAGCCAGAGGCATTAGAGACCAATCAGGATGGTAGGAAACAGTGAGAAATGATGAGGGCCTTCTACTTGACTTACAACCTGACTTCTAAGTCAACACACTCTCTGAGCCACAGTGCTGGGCATCCCAGGGGAAGATGCTCAGCTTACAAGGATGAGGAGGTTGGGGTGAGTGATAAAGATGACAAAGGCACCCGGCAGCTTTCCCTCAGTGTCAGTGTCAGTGTCAGCCGTTGGGAGTGGCAGGCAGCCAGAGCACAGGGACAGAGAATAATAGAAAGAGAAGGCTTGGGAGCCAGGCTGACCTGGCTTTGACTCCAAAGTCCCAGGCCTTGCACAACACCTGCCTACTCTATAAAATGAAGATGACAGTACTCGCTCTAAAGGTTGTAAAAAGGATTCCATGTGGATGGGTGAAATGAGCGAAAGGGGTCAAAAAGTACAAACTTCAGTTATAAAATAAGTAAATCATGGGCGTGTAATGTACAGCATGGTGACTACAGTTAATAATACTGCATTGCCTAAGTGAAAGTTGCCGAGAGAGTAGATCTTAAAAGTTTTCATCCCAAGGGGGAAAAATGAATGGGTTTTGGTTACTGTATAGTGAGCCACGTCAACTAGACTTAGTGTGATCATTTCACAATGTACGCAAATATCTAATCATGAGGTTTTACATCTGAAATATAATGGTATATGTCAATTATACCCCCCCCCCCCCGCAAGAAAAAGGAAGGAAGGCTCGCCTGTAAGTGCATGTGAACACCTGGCCTAGGGAGAGTGTTCGGTAGATGGTAGTTGCAGTTCTTGTTGGGATGAAAGAAGTTCTCTGAACGTTGAGGAGGTAGAACCTACCAGGTGTCCAGACTCGTGAGGGGGTGGGAGCCTCCGAGAGCAGCTTTTCAGCCGGCGCGCTGGCGAGCGGGCGCTGACGTCACCGCGGAGAAAGGCGGGGGTTGGGTGCACTCGCCGTGCGAGCCGAGGGGCGGAGCAAGAGGAGGAAGGAGCGGCGCGGGCAGCTCGGGGAAGAGGCGGGGGCCGGGCGGCGGGGAGGCGGCCGAGGCGCGGGGACGGCGCCGGGAGGCGGGAGCAGTCCCGCTGCAGCTGCGGCCGCGCAAGGAGGCGGTCTGGGCTCGGCTCCGCGGGGCCCCAGGCGCGGCCAGCGACGGGTCCCTACCTACGCAGGTGAGCCCGCCCCGGGTGACCGCGGGCGACAGCGGGAGGGACTGCGAGGAGCGGGAAGGGTGGGGGGGGGGGGCGCTCCTCTGCCGCTTTACCGCCGGGGTCCTCAGGGGTGGGACATCTAGAGTCGCCCCTTCCAGCCCCTCCTCTCCTGGCTCGGGCTCCGGCCGACATCGGGCAAACGTAGGACGCTTGGGGTTGTGCAGGTGGCCTCAGGGTGTAGATCGAGGTAGAGTCCTGCGGGCTGTTTCCGGCTTCCCTCCCCCGCTGCCAGAAAGTGCGGCGACCCCCTCCGCTGTCCGTCTGAGCTAGCACCCCTCCTCGTGCTGCTGCGGGCCTCCCTCCCACTGCCCAGCTGCCAGCACCCCTGCAACCCCAAGCACTGGGGAAGCAGAGGGACCCCAAACCAGCCCCGGGCACGGTGGCGGGAGCTGCACCTGGAAGGCAGCACGCTCCCGGGAGGTTTGCTCAGATGTGGACTGATGATTCACTGGGTTTGAGGGGACCCCCAAAGCTGAGATGTGGTGTCCTTGCTTCCGGATTTGAGGCAGCGGCCCAATGCCTAAGCAAAGACTATCTAATTTGGCCTTAGGTCAGCAAAGGCTTCCTGAAGATCCTCAAGAAATAGAGTGCCCAGGGCCACTCTTGACAGCTTGCCCTTTACTGCTCATCCGCCCGCGGTGCGCAGGGTCCTGAGCTGGGGTTTATGGACTCCTCCCTCGTCTTCCTTCCTCATCCTTGCAATAGCCCCTCAAGCCCCTTGCTGTATCCATCACCCCCACGTAACAGGTGAGAATGCTGAGGCACAGACACAGTAAATCACTTGCCTCAAAGCACAAGGCTAGTGAGGAGTAGAGTCGGGATCTGAACTCAGGTCTCTGGTTTCAAGACTTTTCACTGTAGGGTATCATCATGCTGCCTCTATGATAACATTAGAGATCTGAGATGAAACCTGGTACAACTAAGGGTCCTCTTATGCTCATATGCCTGGCATTTTAGTAGGAAACGAAAATGTGTATGGTATTTACTTTGCAGGGAAATAGAATCCAGGGCTATTGAGTGTAGTGGCCATTGTTGGGGTGAGGAGTGGAGTGGGGTCCCCCTGGACTATGCCCAACATTGCCAAATCACTTTTCTGAGCCATGTGATACTGATAATTCATTCTCTCCTTTAGAAATTCCTACCCCTCTGTATCAACTATTCCTTCTCAGTCATTTCCTTGGCCTGTTTTGTTTTGTTTTTCTTCTCTTGTTGGTATTCCCTTGGCCTCAAAGCTCACATCTTCCAATACTCTTTGTAGATCATTTTATTCATGTTTCTTGCTTTACCCATCATCTTTACGATGGCACCTCCCAAATTCATCTTTTCAGCCTATGCCTAATCTGTAACTCCAGACCCAAATTATCAAATATTCTAATTCCTGCTGGCTAGTTCCAATGTATGCACCCACAGGCACCCATATCCAGCATTTCCAAACTCAGATTTATCATCTCTGTCCTTCCACGTGGTCTTGGTTCAGGTCTTTTCAGTTCCTTGGCTGGACAACATATTACCTTCCAAACTGGTCTTCCTGCCTCTGGAGCCCACCCACCCCTTGAAAGCTCAAAAATCTTAGCCTTTGGTGTCTTCAGAACTGACTGGAGAGAATAGACCTTCTTTCTCCTTCCTTAGTACCCTGTATGTACCTGTAACGGAGCCCTTTGCCTATTGTGTAACTGCTGACTTGTCTTTCTTCCCCTTTAGACCCGGAGCTTCTTTTTTTTTTTTTTTTTCCAACATTTATTTATTATTTTTTGGGACAGAGAGAGACAGAGCATGAACGGGGGAGGGGCAGAGAGAGAGGGAGACACAGAATCGGAAACAGGCTCCAGGCTCTGAGCCATCAGCCCAGAGCCCGACGCGGGGCTCGAACTCACGGACCACGAGATCGTGACCTGGCTGAAGTCGGACGCTTAGCCGACTGCGCCACCCAGGCGCCCCATAGACCCGGAGCTTCTTCAGCACTGATTTGTCTTATCCATCTTTGTATTCCCTGGTCTGGCACATAGTAGGCCCTCCATAAATATTTGTCGTACCTGGTGACCTTGTAATGAATTGAAACTTTTTTTAGGACACAAGTTTTAAGTAGTAGCACTGTGCATAGCGCCATTTCACTACACTCTAAATCTAATCTGTCACTAGGTGAGTTAATTTGTGTGCGTTGGTGGGGAAGAAGCATTAGAATGTGAGTTTCGCAGGTGGCTGGAGATGAAGACTAATGATAAAATGAAAATAAGTTTTCCAAATTGGTGAGTTGATACTAAGGGTGTTTTTAAGGTTGATTTAAACATTCAGCCACGGCATAGTGACTCCCTTCTACTTTCCTTAGACTTCGCGTCAACGAATAAGCTGAGTACGCTCAACGAGAAGAGAAGCAGAGACAAAGTCATCATGGCTTCGGTGTCTACTCATGGAAATCAAGATAAAGGCCCCCATTTGCCACCACCAAGCAAGCAGGTATATTTTTAATTTGGACGTCTGCCAACTGAAGAGGAACATCATCCAGAACCTTCCTTAGACCTCATCCTTGGCCAGTCATCTTACTTTTTGCAGTCTGGCACTTTGTTGGATGGGCGCAGAGACAATGGAGTGGGGAAGGAAACTATTTTTCTAGCTTCCTTGAAAAGGAGCCTTTTCAGTTTTTACTTATAAAATCCTCTCTTTATTCTTCCCTGTTTAGAATCTAGCCTGACTCTTACATAGGCTGTCAAGGACTGAAGAGGTTTCCTTTAGCAGAGCAAAAGTCTTAACTGAATCTAACAGAATGATACATCATGCCTGCTTTTACATTTTTGTTACCAGGGCTAATCATACTGATCTATGCTGCTGACAGGTGTTCCTTAACCACTAAATTAGCGATCAGATTGAGAACCCTAGTGGGTCACGGGCACAATATTTCAAATTGTTCAGAAGGAATAGTATATGTTTCGGGGACACGTAAATGAAGCAAAGAGAAAGTATTGTGATGGGAAAATGGAGTTCATGTTCTCCAGCATCAACTTTCCCAGCTAAAATGAGTTTATGAAGGGGGGGTGATGTTGAAGGAGCAAAGTTTAGGAGAGGTTAACAGACAAATGACACGCAGTCACACGGAAAAGAATTTAGACACCCGAGTTGCCTCTGTGAAATAGAGAACCATGAAACATTTATGGCTCTACAGGAAAGGGTCACCAGAACTCCTCTGTGGAGACTGCGGGAGCACCGGTCTTGACTGCAGGACTCACAGCAAGTGTGGTAGTCAGGGTCCCTGAGTCTGGATGCGGACCATCCAGAGGGAGGGAGGGAGATGTGCCCCACCTCTGCTGCACCCATAGGCAGAACCAAGAGGAGATATTTACACTGCGATAAGGAGTGCTTGCTGAGGAACTAAGGTAAGCAGAGGGTGAGAAGAGCTCCCTCTCTCACCCTGTGACTCACTCACCCTGACCACCGTCAGCCAGGCGCTGTGCTGTGGGGAGTTATAGAGAAAGAAGACAGAGGTCACCTGCTTGAGTTGTTTATAGAACTCTGAAGGCATAGGGGCCGTGAGGTCTTTCCACCTGTCATCATGCATGTAAAGTGCTTGGCACAGTGCCTGGCCCGTGGAAAAGTACTCAAGAAACGGTGGCCGTCATCCACATTGTTATCTACCACAAAGAGTCCAAAAATGAATATTGGCAAAATCAGCAAGGCAAAACTCAAAAGTGAAAGAACTGCACCTCAAGAAAAACATAAAAAATCCAAGAGGTAAACGGCAGAGGTCCTACATAAATAATTCACAAACAAGGAGATACAAGTGTGACTAATATAGTAAGGAGCAAATTAAATAAAATTTGTTTTTAAAAAATGAATGAAGGGCACCTGGGTGGCTCAGTTAGTTAAGCCTCCGACTTCGGCTCAGGTCATGATCTCACGGTTCGTGAGTTCAAGCCCCACATCGGGCTCTGTGCTGACAGCTCAGAGCCTGGAGCCTGCTTCGGATTCTGTATCTCCCTCTCTCTCTGCCTACCCCCCACTCATGCTCTGTCTCTTTCTCTGTCTCTCAAAAATAAACATTAAAAAAAATTTTTTTAAAAACGAATGAACCACCCAGAGGATGGAAAAAATTATTTTCAAATGCATATTTGGCAAGGGTCTATTATCCACAATATACAAAGAGCTTTTACAGCTCAACATCAAAGAGACAAACAGCCCAATTAGAAAAATGGGCGAAGGACTTAAATAGGTATTTCTCCAAGGAATATATGTGAATGGCCAACAAGCAAATGACTAGATGACCAATGTCATTGGTATTAGGGAAATGCAAATCAAAACCACAATGAGGTACCGTTCACAATCACTAGCATGACCATAATTTAAAACAGAAACAATTTAGTTTATTTAGCTTAAATTAATGAAATAATTCATATTGAGAATTTTAACGTGCTAATTTGAAAAGAACAAACAAAACAGAAAATGAGAAGTGTTGGCAAGGATGTGGAAAGGTGGGGACTCTCATACTTTGTTGGTGGGAAAACAGTTTGGCAGCTTCTCAGTAAGTTAAACATAGAATTACCGTATGGGTCAGAAGAATTGAAAACAGGTGTTCAAACAGTTTGTAGCAGCTCTATTCACAACAGCCGAAAGGTAGAAATGACCCAAATATCTATCAGTAGATGACTGGAGAAACAAAATGTGGTATATCCATGCAATGGGATGTTATTGAGCCACAAAACGGAATGAATTATTGACACGTGCTAGAACATGGATGAGCCATAAAAACATCATGCAAAGGGAGAAAAGAGAGCCACCAAAAGAAACATACTGTATGACACCACTTACATAAAACTACCCCAAACGGGCAAATCTGTGCAGCCAGAAAGCAGATTAGTGATCGCCAGGGAGCCAAGGGTTGGAGGGAGCAGGAAATGAGGAGAGGCTCCTTAATGAGTATGGAATTTCCTTTGGGGGTGATGAAAAAGTTCTGGAATTAGTGGTTGTGGCTGCCCAACATTGTGGATGGACTCAGTGCCGTAGATTGTCTACTTTAAAATGGTTGAAATCGTAAGTATTATGTGTGTGTTACCACAATCAAAAAGCATTGAACTACCATATAACAAAAGAGCACAGCCCAGGTTCAGTTGAGGGATTGCCCCAACATTCGAGGAGAAGGGCGTTGTGGCTGAAGAATATGTAGATTCTCAAACACATTAGTTATCAGAGAAGTGCAGATAAGAATAAAATATTAACATTTATACCTATTGGACTGTCAACATTTAGAAAACTGGATAATGCCAAATATTCCAAGCTTTTGTTCTTTAACCTGCTTAGAGTCCAGCTTCACTGGCCCCTAGGTGGGCTCTGTAGGCATAGAGGAATATTCAAGACTGCTGGTGTGGGTAAGTACGATGCAGCCATTAGGGAGAGAACTGTAGCGAGACTTTGTCAAATCGGGAATACACATGCCCTGTATTTTACTTCTAGGGGTATATCTGAGAAATATTCTCACAGGGGACTGTAAGGAGACATGCCCTGGTGAGGAAACATCCTCCAGGAAGCATCCTGGAGAATTAGCCAGCAGTTGGAACAGTGAACTAGATATGTAAGCAACATGGATGGATCTTAAAAGCATAGAGCTGAGTTGAAAACATTTTAAGGGGCGCTTGGGTGGCTCAGTCGGTTAAGCTTCCAACTTTGGCTCAGGTCACGATCCACGGTTCATGGGTTCGAGCCCCGCATCGGGCTCTGTGCTGACAGCTCAGAGCCTGGAGCCTGCTTCAGATTCTGTGTCTCCCTCTCTCTCTCTGCCCCTCCCCTGCACACCCTCTGTATCTCTCAAAAATAAATAATAAACATTAAAAATATTTTTTAACATTTAAAGTACAATTAAATATACAAAACTTCCATTTGCATTAAAAAAATGCATGCACCCATAACAGTGAACATTTTGCAGCAATGCATACCAACAAATGATCGGCATTAAGCCCCCAGAATGGCAGTGATAGAGGAGAATATGAGAATAGAGAATGGAAGTAAGAGTGAGTGAGTAATATATACCCACAAAAGGGGAAGGGTGGTATATGATGGGAGTTAGTCCAGATTATAGCATATCAACACAATAAAAAGAATAGATCTAGTAAAAGTGATCATTTAAACCATGTTGGTCATCCCATCAGAAATTACGTGCAGACCCCTTATGAATGTGTAAAAAAGAAACCTGTTAAGATAGAGTATGATGACAAAAAGTCGTTTGTTGGCGAGTTCTTAGCCTAAAAATGCATACAGAAGTATAAACAGATGAATTGGAATGCAGATCTATAAATAGCTAACTTGTAGTACACTGCCCTGAATGGATCCCAGAGATGGAAACATTGTGCTTTGGGGGAAATCTCTTCACCCAGGAGGCAACTGGGTCTCAAGGACACCAGGCAGGCAAAGGGAGTGAGGAGCATTGCGGGCAGGATGAGCCGCGTGGACGGAAGCTGGGGGTAAGAAAGAAAATGTGGCCTCGACAGTGATTCATTGTGATCAGATATCTGTTCCATACTCGCGAGTCCATGAGTCACTCTGCTTCTGCAGCTGGGATGCTTTCCTTGCCTAAACCCACCCAGCGTTCCCAGTTGGAAGGCACTGGCTGAGACTGGTCATTACTCTGCTGGCAGCCACACAGGATACACGCTGTGTGACCTGAGTGAAGAGACCTCCCTGCCCTCCTCTAGAGAAAACAGCAGATGCTTTTCTAATGATTTCAGTCAACTCACCACATAACTTTCCTTGCAGAGTCTATTATTTTGTCCAAAATCAAAACTGCACATCCACAGAGGAGAGATTTCAAAGATTATCCGAGAGTGTCAAGAAGAAAGCTTCTGGAAGAGAGGTAATTGAACCCCTCTTAATCTTTGCTAACACCATATTTGCTGCAATAAACTGCCCAAATATCACAGTAGAATTATGGTAACGAGTCCCTTTTGAGCAGAGACTGCATAATTCCCTGAAGAACTTTACATATCAGTGGCTGTTTCGATTCTAAATCCATATTGAAGCCCTTTTAAGTGTAGAGGTCATACCTGATGTAGGGACACCTTCCCTCACTTAGCAAGAAGTGATACACACTTTCCTCCGTGTGACCAAGGACGTGTGCCAAGAGTGTTATTTAGAATTTCTGGAAAGATTTGACCCTCCTACATTTCACTAAACTTTCATTGAGTTTGGAAATAATATCAGGTTCATTGCTTCATCCCAGAGCCAAGCACAGCGCTACACATATAGAAATTGCCTATTAAATATTTGTGGAATAAGAATAAATAAATAAACATTAAAATGTTTGTGATACGAGTAAAAAGGGGCAACATTCCGTTAATAATAATTCTCTTACAATGTCTCTGAAATAACCTTTTCTGCTGATTCACTTACTTCCTCTTGCTGGGCCTGTCTTATATAAGGCGAGGGTGTGAATTCATGCTGCGCGTTAAGGTCTCTTCCAATTTAAAAAATTCATGATTTGTCATTTGAAAATGTCATAATAGAGCCCATAGATTTAGTCCCAGTGTTTTGCAGCATTGGGATGATTTATACTTTGAAATACACATTTTTTCATTTCTCAAATCATTCAAGTTCAATATCAATTGTTTTGGAATTGGAAGCAATACTTTAGAACTTGATATTTATTATATTTTATGATTCTTGATCGTGTTCCTAGAAATTCACAAGTTTGTTTTTTGTTTTTGTTTTTTTTTTACAACCTATGAATAAGTAATTTAAGTAAGCACTAGTAGATTAACATTTCAGTATGACCCATTTGTCTCCCATCAGGTAGATATGAGTGGAAACATTGGTTGCTATTTGATTTTTCTCTTGCTGGGAGGAGCTGGATGTTGATCAGTGCTCTCTGCTCTTGGAAGAAGTGTTGCGTTTTGATAGAACTAGATACTGCCTTTGCCAAACTAACTTGCCTGTTTTAAAAATCATAGCTCAGCACCGCCCATGTTTAACATGAATGTGATAATCTCATAATCTTCAGAACACAGACATATCCAAATTGTGACATATCCAAAATATCCTCTGAGACAAAAGCTGGGAACGGTCCTAGATCAGGTATGCCGGAGTTTAGTGTATTGTTTTTTAACTTTTCTGTAGGATTGAAATTTTCAAAAGACAGCTAAAGGCGACTCCCAGATTCAACGGCTAAGTGTGCACTCTCACTAAGATACCTTTGTCGTCTGTGGCGCTCAGCATCTGGTGCGTGGTGGGCGGTCCCTAAAGGCGGGTGTCAGAGCTGGAGTGGCACGGGGCTAGGTTTTGTCATGGTAATGCTGTGCCTCCCGGCTGAGTGACTGGGACAGATCTCAAGAAAATTCTTCATGCGGTGCTTAATAAATACTTGTTGAATAAGTAAAATAACAAATGACTAACACCTCGTTGCCAAGGTAGATAAGAGAAGAAAACACAGGCTAATTTCCCCTGACTTCTGGGTGAGGTGCCAAGTTTTAAACTAGCGGTATTGAACCACATCTTTCTTTTGCAGCTCTGCCTTTTTCTCTTGTGAGCATGCTCGCCACCCAAGGACTAGTCCACCACGGTAAGATTCAGAATCAGTTATTGTTCGACTTGAGAGCCCAGGTTTCAGTGATGCTCCTGGTAGCTTTTTGGCACTTGGCATTTGTTTTTTGGTGGAAGATTTATGTATGCAGGTTTTTGCTTATTTTCAGCCTAAGCACCCCCTCTCCCGAAGATGTCCTAATCTCCAGAAGGAGTGGCTATATTAAGTTGCGTGGCAAAGGGAAATTAAAGTTGCAGACGAATTAAAGCTGTTCATCAGCTGACCTTAAAATAGAGAGATTATTGGGGCGCCTGGGTGGCTCAGTCCGTTAAGTATCCGACTTCGGCTCAGGTCATGATCTCGCGGTTTGTTGGTTTGAGCCCCGCGTCGGACTCTGTGCTGACAGCTCAGACCTGGAGCCTGCTTCATATTCTGTGTCTCCCTCTCTCTCTCTCAAAAATAAACATTAAAAACATTTTTTTTAAATAGATTTTTCTGCATTATCTAGATGGGCCCAGTGTAATCAAGGGTCATTAAAAATGCAAGGGTGGATGAGAAGACGGAACCAGGGGGATGGCAGCACCAGAAAGGCTCAGTTCGACACTGTTGGCTATGAAGACGGAGGAGGAGCCCAGGAGTCTGGGATGTGGCTGGCCTCTGGAAGCTGGAAACGAGAGAAACTCTAGAACTTCCAGAAAGGAATGCGGCCCTACTACTATCTTGATTTTAGCCCAGTGCTGTGGTCTGAATATTTGTGTCACCCCAAATTCACTTGTTGAATATTCACTTGTTGAACTCCTAAGGCCCAGTGTGATGGCATTAGGAAGGGGGCCTTGGGCAGGGGTGGAGCCATCATGAAGGGATTAGTGCCCTTGTAAAAGAGATCCCAGAGCTCCCCGGGCCCCTTTCATCACATAATGATGCAACAGGAAGTCTGCAACCCCGAAGAGGGCCCTCACCCAACCATGCTGGCACCTGATCTTGGACTTTGGCCTCCAGAACTGTGAGAAATAAATTTCTTTTGTTGCTAAGCCACCCAGTCTGCCATATTTTGGTGTAGCTGCCCAAATGGTCTGTCACCCAGTGAGACCCATTTTGAGCCTCTGAGCTCCAGAACTATAAGGTAACAAATTTGTGTTGCTTTAAACCACTGAGTTTGTGGTGAGTTGTTACAGCAGCCACAGGATACTGAGGCAGCAGCTTTCTCTGTGCCAGAGTCCCTGTGTCTCCCAGGGGCTCCAGGTATGGTTAGACAGATTGTTTCCCCCCAGCTGTGCTCCAAGGAGGTAAGTCACACTGAAATCCACCCGAACTCTGTCCATCATGCCATTCCTCATGGCAAGAGGCTGCATGCAAGAGGCTACATCTGCCTAAGGAAGGGACCCTGTCTAATCTGAGCAACAGATCGAGAGAACTAGCAGCCGCCCAGCACCTCCCCACATAACCTCTTCCTGCCTCTTAGAGGTTTCCACTTTTCCTGTCTGTTCTCCCTTTCTCGCTCTCTTCTTTCTTCTGTCTCCATCTCACCAGAGCCTCCATAGACATTGCTTGGTCCCCAGATAACAAGAAGGTACCTGGCCTTGTTGAAGACCACTATACTAAACACCGCTGATTACCAGGATTTTTTTTTTTTTTTTTTTAAAGTAGGCTCCATGCGCAGCACAGAGTGCAATGCGGGCTTGAACTCATAAGCCTGAGATCAAGACCTGAGCTGAGATCAAGTGGGACGCTTAACTGACTGAGCCACTCAGGTGCCCCAATTACCAGGATTTTTTTTTTTTAACGTTTATTTATTTTTGAGACAGAGAGAGACAGAGCATGAACGGGGGAGGGGCAGAGAGAGAGGGAGACACAGAATCGGAAGCAGGCTCCAGGCTCTGAGCCATCAGCCCAGAGCCTGACGCGGGGCTCGAACTCACGGGCTGTGAGATCGTGACCTGAGCCGGAGTCGGACGCTTAGCCAACTGAGCCACCCAGGCGCCCCCAATTACCAGGATTTTTAAAAGACTATTTGTACCCAGCAAACATGAGGGAAAATGTTAAAATGTTCTAGTTCCTTTTGGGGTGTCAGAGACCACATATGTCACATATCCAGGAGAATCCCATTTCACTCAATATTATTCTTGTCTTTAAAAGTGATTTGTTAAATATAATTTCATTTTTATAACTTCAAGGTAGCCTTTTTATAGAAATATATTCATCAATCAGTAACAAGCCTTCATCAGACCACTTCTGACAACAAAAAAATATGGCCACGACATCTATAGGGGTTATGTTTTATAAATATTAAACTGCTTAAAATCTACAGTTTTCTGCATGTGTACAGATATACCTTTCCAGGTTTGTATATTAATTTTCCATGGCTGCTATAATAAATTACCACAAATATGGTGGCTTAAAACAATACAAATTGCTTATCTCGGGGTTTCAGAGGTCAAAAGTCCAAAATGGGTTTCACTGGGCTGAAATCAAAGTGTTGTTAATGCTGCATTCCTTGGGGGGGGGGGGGTGGTGGTGAGGGGGGGTATGGGGCTTCCTTTCCCTTTCCAGCTTCTAGAGACCACCCACATTCTCTGGCTCATGGCCCCTTCCTCTGTCTGTGAAGCCAGCAACACTGAGGCAAGATCTTCTCATACTGCCATGATATGTTTCTGAATCTCTCTTCCATATTCAAGATGATTACATCTTTTTTTTTTAATGTTTTTAATGTTTATTTCATTTTTGAGAGACAGAGCATAAGCGGGGGAGGGGCAGGGAAAGAGGGAGACATAGAATCTGAAGCAGGCCCCAGGCTCTGAGCTGTCAGCACAGAACCCAATGCGGGGCTCGAACTCACAAACCACGAGATCATGACCTGAGCCAAAGTCAGCACTTAACTGACTGAGCCACCCAGGTGGCCCTCAAGATGATTGCATCTTGATTACATTGGGTCCACCCAGATAATCCAGGATAATCTTCCTATTTTAAAATTACTCGATTAGCAACCTTAATCCCATTTTCTTCATAGTTTCCAGGGATTGGGATGTGGACATCTTTAGGAGACCATTACTCTGCCTTCCATAGGTTTTATTGTTTTCATTTTAAAATTATGATATATATACTGTGAATCTCTAAACTGAGACTTCGTGTTGAGTTACTTAAAAAGGGGAGGGGACTATGCCTAATTGCTTGGAACTAGATTGTTAGCCCCCTCTTTGCGTTGATACCATTTTTTTTAAATTTTATTTTTTAAGTAATCTCTACACCCCATGTGGGGGTTGAACGTAGAACGCCAAGATCTAGAGTTGCATTCTCTACGGATGGTGCCAGCCAGGCGCCCCCCCTTAATATATTTAAATTAGTCTTAAATGGTCTGTTTCATGTTCTTTTTCTGTACATTAAAGCTACTAATACTTTGCTACTTGCTAAAAATGATTGAGAGTTAAGTTCAATTAAGAATTGACTTATAACTTTTAAAAAATCATCTCTTTAAGAATCTGTGTATATCAAGATTTACTTTAAAGGTTTATTTACATTTTATAAATTTAAATAAGGTATAAAATGTAATAATAATGTATTTATATATTACTTCTTAGGTTATTTAGCATCTAATCCAAGATTTGGATCATTGCCCAAAGTTGCACGTAAGTTATAGAAGTTAAAAAAACAAACCCTAAAAAGATTCATTTTTTTTTTTTAAAAACAAGATGTTTATAGCAACTGGAGATATGAATGTCAGGTTAACAAACTGCCTGCGTTGACTCTCTGAAAAATCAGTCTGTTTTTTTGTCGCTTTGAAGTTCTTAGTTCATTCAACACTTTCTGATATAAGACTGAGCCTCGTTAAACCTTAGGCCTCGTTAAAGCCTGGACTCAGAGGCATGGGCACAACATACAAGAGGAGACCAAGCAGAGCCTCTGGATGATAGAGCCATTAGGGCCTGTCATTCTCTTCTTTTGGCTAGTTAGCTGGGTTTTTTTCTAAATATTTTTTTTTTAATTTTTTAATGTTTATTTATTTTTGAGAGAGAGAAACAGAGCATGAGTGGGGGAGGAGCAGAGAGAGAGGGAGACACAGAATCCGAAGCGGGCTCCAGGCTCTGGGCTGTCAAACTCGCAAACCGCGAGATCATGACTGAGCCACCCAGGCACCCCCAGGATATTTTCTATAATGGACCTACCAAATGAATAATTTTTAAAAATCAGAGACTTTCTAGTAATACATTTCCCACAAACTTGGGGTTTCATCTTCTTCCACTCATACACAGACCCGTTATGTACAAAGAGGACGCGTTCCAGTTCAGGGTCTGAAACCTCATTCCCAGCAAGAAGAGCAGGTTGGACATTTCTCCCATAGGAGATTCCCCCTGCCTCATGAGCTCTCTTCCCTGCAGGCAAGATGGAGTGCCGCTGCCCCTACTGTAACCCATCAAGAGAATTAAGGGCCTTTCAAGTGCCCCATGATTTGGAAGCCACCTACGGCCACTGCCCAAAGCCCACCACTCCCTGCCCTGGGGCCTCAGGCATTTGTTTGCCACCTGGGCCTCCCACTGGCTGCCTGCCTCGGAGACAGCACCTTTGCTGGCTCTATCCTGGCCCTTCCACCACCAGCTCAAAACTGAGGAGCTCAGAAAGCCTCCATTTCCCAATCCTGCTCCTTAATAGGGAGACTCATTCTCAGAGGTATTGTTCGTTGATTTGTCACAGTACTTTTTATGTAAGAATTACTACTGTTAATGTAGAAAGTTCTAGAAGATAATTAATAGAGGCGATGCTGAGCTTTTCAATTATCTTTCCTCACCTTCTTTTACAGTTGCGGGTATCTTGGGATTTGCCCTTGGAAAGGCATCATACATACGAGTGTGCCAGAGTAAATTCCATTCCGTCGAAGATCAGCTCCGTGGGGCTGGTTTTGGTCCAGGGCATAACAGGTTTGTAACTGTTTAAAAATTTTTATTAAGTTCTTAAATTTTAATTCCAGAGTAATTAATGCACAGTGTTCTATTAGTTTCAGGGGTACAATACAGTGATTCAACAGCTCCATGTATTAGCCAGTGCTCATCATGTCAAGTGTACTCTTAATCCCCTTCACCTGCTTCCCCCAGCCCCCCCACCCAGCTCCCCCCTGGTAACCATCAGACTGTTCTCTATAGTTAAGAGTCTGTTTTTTAATTTGTCTCTCTCTCCCTCTCTCTCTCTCTCTCTATTTGTTCCCCTTTGCTCACTTGTTTTGTTTCTAAAATTCCACATATGAATGAAATCATATGGCATTTGTCTTTCTGACTTATTTCACTTAGCATAATACTCTCTAGATCCATCCATGTCATTGCAACAGGTTTGTAATCTTTTTGGCTGAGGGACTGTTTTTATTTATTCATTTATTTATTATTTTTATCGGAGAAAATAAAAGACAGAGAGCAAGCACGCGTGCGCACAAGCAGTGGAGAGGGGCACAGAAAGAGAAAGAGAGAATCTCAAGCGGGCTCCATGCTTAGCACGGAACCCAACGCGGGGCTTGATCCCACGACTGTGGGGCTCAAACTCAACAACCATGAGATCATGACCTGAGTCAAAATCAAGAGTCAGATGTTCAACCGACTGAGCCACCCAGACACCCCTTTGACTGAGAGATTGTAATGAAGATAATTATAAAAAGTTAAATAAGGCCTTTTCACCACTTACAATATTAGACAATTTTTAACATATCTCTATATTGAAAAAAAACCTCTTTAACTCTCAATTTTTGAGCTGTTGCTATTCAATAATAATTACCTGTTTCATTTGCTCAACATTGAGCACTTACTGTGTTTGAGACATCGTGCAGGTCTCTAACGAATACCTTCATCAGCAGACATGGCTTCTACGATCACGGGGTCACACCGGATTTGAACAGGTTTCTTTACAGCAGGACTTCTCAGAACCCTTCTAGGTTGGCGTGTATTGCGATTCTCATTCAGAGGTGTCAGCCATGAGACTCTGGAGTTAAGGACATTACCCCGGTGGTTAGAGTACCCAGGTGAAAACCAGTTCTACTGCTTACAAAGCTGTGTAACCTTGGACAAGTGTCTTACCCTCTCTGATTTTCAGTTTCCTCCTCTGTAGAAAGTGGTGATCAGAATTGTTTTCGTGGCATGTTACAAGGAATAGGAGTGATTATTTATAACAGTGAGGGCCCCGTAAATAGTACTTATTTCTATGATAGTTTTGATAGGTTTGGTGTTAGGAACACATTTCTTTCAAGACCTTGACTTGTCACAGTGGGTTCTATTTGAAAGGCAGCATGAAACCTGTGAAAACAACATCAGACGTGAAGATCATTATTGACCTTTGTGGGGGGATGAGATTCTGGGGGGTGGTCTCAAACCAAGAGACAACTCCTGTTTTTCCTTTAAATATTAGAACTTGTGAGGGGCACCTGGGTGGCTCAGTCAGTTAAGCATCCAACTCTCTTTTGGCTCAGGTCATGATCCCAGGGTCATAGGATCGAGTCCCATGTCAGGCTCCATGCTGAGCATGGAACCTGCTTAAGATTCTCCCTCTCTGCCCCACTTTTGCACGCACACTCTCTCTCTCTCAAAATAAATTAAAAAAAAAAAAATTAGGCTAGTGAACTTCCACATAGAAGACGCCTCTCAGTCACGCTGTGTTAAGACTAGATAGACCAACCAGTGACAAAGCACAGACTTCTGTTTTTGCTTCCATTCTAGGCACTGCCTGCTTACCTGTGAGGAGTGCAAAATCAAGCACGGATTACATGAGAAGGGAAGCTCTCAGCCTTCAGCTTCTTAAACTTGTCTCTATGGCTTTGGAAGTTCCTTAAACCTCTCTCTGAATTTGTACACATTTAGAGTTTCAAGTGTACTTTAAAATAACATATGTATAGTGGAACAGAAACATTGTGCTTCTCTCTTTTTGACATGCTTTCTGGGGAAGATTCTCAATTGAAGTGAGCAGTATATGTTTGCGATTTGAGAACTTGTCGGGGGCATTCACACACCAAAAAAGAAATTACATTGCATTCCTTAACTTGATTACAGCTGAGTAAAAGCGCTTCAAGTCTTCGCTGATTTGGGCCATCCATTCTTTCACTCTGCTTTTGTCCAGGGTTTTAAGATCGCGGATACAGGATGGGAGTGAATATTCAGGAACTTGGGAAGCCATGCCCCAAAGAAAACCAATGTGTATAGAGGTAGAAACACGGGACAAGAAAGACTGTGTCTTCTAGGTTTGAGAAGTGCTTTCTAAAATATAGGAACCAAGGGGCGCCTGGGTGGCGCAGTCGGTTAAGCGTCCGACTTCAGCCAGGTCACGATCTCGCGGTCCGTGAGTTCGAGCCCCGCGTCAGGCTCTGGGCTGATGGCTCGGAGCCTGGAGCCTGTTTCCGATTCTGTGTCTTCCTCTCTCTCTGCCCCTCCCCCGTTCATGCTCTGTCTTTCTCTGTCCCAAAAATAAATAAACGTTGAAAAAAAATTAAAAAAAAATAAAATATAGGAACCAAGATGTTTAAGTTGATAAAAAATATTTCCCTTGAAAGAGTCAGAATTTGAATCCACTGCCCTTTCAGTGACATAGATGACTTTGTGCCTCATTGGTGTGGTGAAGTTTTGGAAGAACCCATCATCTTTAGGTTACTTGTTTAGCATGCTCATGGTCAGCACTAAAGAACTGGATTCTTAAACTTGAGTTTCCAAACTGCCCCTCCTTCTCCCAAGGAACAATTTGTTTATGGGAACAATCACTTGAAGAATTAATTCACGGAATGATAAACTTTTGGGGCTATAAGGAGCTCAGAAGCAGCCAATCCAACCCCAGGAGTTGGATTCCTATTCTCCTACCAGGTTTTCTGCATGAAAAAACCAACCAACCAACCAACCAGCCAGCTAACCTCTTCCACTGGAGACCTTGCATTTTATGGCAGGTTGTCTGAGACCTTCATAAACATTTAATTTGCATCTTCGCATTTTCTCAGGAAAATGCTTTATGTATGTGTCGCCATTTATTCACTGGTTTGTGTGTGTGTGCGTGCATGCTTGTGCGTACGTGTAGCTGTTTGTATTAATACATCTTGAAACCATGTATAAAAAGGAAAATCTCATCAGAAGTTAATAATTGATCTGAAATATCATTTTAAATACCAAAAATATTTGGGAAATTTTCTTTTTACATGAACCTTAAGTGTATGACATGGAGGGTTTTGTTTTTTTTTAAGTCCATTTATTTTTGAGAGAGAGACAGAGTACAAGTGTTAGAGGAGGGGCAGAGAGAGTGAGAGAGACAGAGAATCTGTTAGCACAGAGGCTGACGTGGGACTTGATCTCACGAAGCTTGAGATCATGACCTGAGCTGAAATCAACACCTGGACGCTTACCCGACTGAACCATCCAGGCGTACCTGAAATGGTGTGGTTTTGACTTCATCTCCTTCATAGTACATATCCTGGTCTTTCAGTTGATAAAGTTCTATTTCTGTAAATCAGAAGCCAGCAATCCTAGCTTCGTGGATGCAGTTGAACTCCTGACTCTGGCAACGAACTAGTGGGGACTCTGTTCTCTGGGTGATTGGCAACAATTCAGAATTAGGCATATTTATTTCCTACAAACCAGAAAATGATTTCCCAGGGATCAGAACATCTTCAGATTGCCAAGCACAGCAAGTCAGTGTTGAAATCAGTCTTGGGGTACTGGGAAAAGATGAATCTATTATTGTTGAAAAGGCCCATTGTTTTTATAGCTGACGTCTTCATATTTTCTCCTGAGTCAAATTGGATTTATTGTTTGGGCTCTCTGCTTTTCCTAAGCATGTAAGGTATTCATTGAAACAGTTCATCACAGTGATCTTTCCTTTCACGGGGTGAAAGGAAATCAATAAAGAGAAAACTGGAAGGTCATCCAAGAAATCTCAAATATTTTGCTGCTTTCTCTATTGCGTATATTAGGAAGCATGTATCGTGGGGAGAATGTTTCTTGCAGGAAGATGTGTCAAAAGAGTTGCATTTGTCTTGCAGCATTTAGATATTACCAACACTCGTCACCAAGCTAGTCATAAGCTTATGAGAGCATTGCCTTCATGATAAAAACAGACAAAAAAGAGGTACTGTATATAATGCTTATATATTTTAAAAATTCTCACTTAAGGGGCTCAGTCAGTTAAGCATCTGACTTTGGCTCAGGTAATGACCTCACGGTTCATGAGTTTGAGCCCTGCATCTGCTCTCTGCTGTCAGTGCTGAGCCCACCTTGGATCTTCTCTCTCTCTCACTGTCACTCTCTGCCCCTCACCTGTTCATGTGAGCGTGTGCATGCACATGCACACACTCTCTCTCTCTCTCTCAAAAATAAACATTAAAAAAATATGTCTCACTTGAGCAAAGATATTCTCTTCCCTTGCTGTCAGAATAAATGACTTATCTATTGTCTGTTAATGTCATGAAAGTAATAAGTTATCTTGAATGACTTAAGCAATGAAAAGGTCATACAGATCATTTTCTTGATGTTCAACTAATGCAATCTGGTAATCAAAAAAACTTTTCCATGTTAGAGCTCAACTATAGAATTTGATTTCATAGACATTTGAGGTTTGAACAGGGGCACCTGCGTGACTCAGTGGGTTGAGCGCCTGACTCTTGATTTCGGCTCAGATCATGATCTCATGGTCATGAGATCGAGCCCTGCATCAAGATTCTCTGTCCCTCTCCCTCAACCCCTTCCCTGCTCCCTCTCTCTCTCTCTCTCTCTCTCTCTCTCTCATTCACTCTCTCAAAAGACAAAACAAAAGTTTGCAGAGATGTCCGTGATTAACCCAGAGGCAGCAAAGTCCAGGACCAGATAATCGAGTGAAGCTGAACTAGTGTAGTGGCATGTTAAACCCAGTCTTCTTCCACAACACACACAAATATGTGGGCCCACTGTTGCCAGATCTTCCAGCTTTTCAAAACAAGTAACACAGGTTTTTATGTGAGGATTCTGGTTTTTATATGTTCATTCTTTCATATATTCAATTACTGAGCACCCAGTCTGTGCCTAGGCACAGTCCTAGATCCTGGAAATGCAACAGTGAACACAACTGACAGAATTCTATGTCTTTCTGGAGTTGGTATTCTCTTTTTAAAAATTTTTTGGGGTGGGGCGCCTGGGTGGTGCAGTCGGTTAAGCGCCTGACTTCAGCCAGGTCACGATCTCGCGGTCCGGGAGTTCGAGCCCCGCGTCAGGCTCTGGGCTGATGGCTCAGAGCCTGGAGCCTGTTTCCGATTCTGTGTCTCCCTCTCTCTCTGCCCCTCCCCCGTTCATGCTCTGTCTCTCTCTGTCCCAAAAATAAATAAACGTTGAAAAAAAAAAATTAAAAAAAAATTTTTTTGGGGGGGTGCCTGGGTGGCTCAGCCGGTTGAGCGTCTGACTTCAGCTCAGGTCATGATCTCACGGTCTGTGAGTTTGAGCCCCGCATCGGGCTCTGTGCTACTGGCTCAGAGCCTGGAGCCTGCTTCGAATTCTGTGTCCCTCTCTCGCTCTGCTCCTCCCCTGCTCTTGCTCTGTCTCTCTCTCAAGAATAAATAAAACATTAAAACAAATTTTTAAAAATCTTTATTCTTGAGAGAGAGAGACAGAGTGAGAGTAGGGGAGGGGCAGAGAGAGAGGGACCCAGAGAATCTGAAGCAGGTTCCAGGCTCCGGGCTGTCAGCACAGAGCCTGATGCAGGGCTCGAACTCACAAAATGTGAGTTCATGACGTGAGTCGAAGTCAGACGCTCAACCGACTGAGCCACCCAGGCGCCCCAGGAGTTTCTATTATTGCTAGTTTGTGGCGTGAAATCCAGTCCAACCACCCGCCGCTGTGAGAATCCCCTCCACTCTCTGGGCAGGTGAGATTCCAGGACGCACATATGTACTTCTTGGGGAAGGACACCTGCTGACCTACGGTGCTACGCTTTACACCGCCCAGCTGTGCAAAAGTGTTCGGAAAGGTCTTATGGGAGCCCAGGTTCGCCTCCCTCCCCCCTAGACTGGAAGCTCTTCCAGGATGAGAAGTATGTCTTCTTTTACTGATGTCTGAGTCTCCAGCCCCAACCCGAGTTCTTGGTCAGATATAAGGACTTCGTTTATGTTTGTCAGCCTACACCTGTAATTTCTCTGTGGCTACAAAATAGGATTCTTATTCTTCTTTCCCAGAGTGGCCTTTAAACACTGGAACACATGTTCCTCTCAGTTTCTTCAACCACTGGAGTGGGTTTCCAGCCCTGTCACATCCTGGTCTTGGGACACCTTTGGTATGTGTTGTCCTTTCTTACACCAAGACCCCAGACATGGATTGACCGGTTCAGAAAAGACCGCAATCATGGAGCTTTTCATTTCAGGCACGTGCACTGACAAGAGTGACCCTGCATGACGCTCTGTGCTCATATCCAGGCTCTGCCGCTGACTGAGTCAGCTCTGTGCCTCCATTTCTCATCTGTAAATGGAAACATTTTAGACTGTCCTGACAGGTTGTTCATGAGGATTAAACGAGCTACTACTAATTATTTTTTTCAAGTACTCTCTATGCCCAATGTGGGGCTCGAACTCACGACCCCAAGATCAAGAGTGGCATCCTCTAACCACCGAACCAGGCACATACCCCTTAAATGAGTTAATACTTACAAAATGCTTCCAATAAATAATGCATGGCTCAGAATAACCACCAAGGGATGTTAGCTATTACGACTACCACGACTTTTAATTGGAGTCCAAAAGTACGTGTCACACTTTTTTGGCCTGTGCTAAGCTTTTCACATGACCTACCTTTAAGTCAAGTCTCCCCATTTTATGCTTAGGCAGCTGGTCATTCTGAACTCCAGTCTAACGCATGATATCTTTGGTTCTTTTTGATTTCATGATGCTATTATCCGTCCTTTTGAGTTTCAAATTTGTAATTCAACAGGTGAGTGTTGTGTCAGCTGCCCTGGAAAATATTCAGTTAACCCCTTTGGTTTCTTAATGTATAGTGTTCATGTAAGTGCTCAATCTTTGTTGGGTGAATGATCGTCTTGAAGAATGTATTACAACCTTGAAGAGTAGTTTGGTTTATTAGAGAGAAGA